AGTGAGCTCCCGTGTGAAAGATTTGCTTTATATTGCATGTGCAATTTGCAAAGCCAGTGGCTTGTCCTGTCAAGTGACGGCCGCAATATTCACCTTATATTGTAAATCCATTTCCACGAGGTAAATGAGATAAAAAGTCCGTGTCATCTTCATCATAGATCATGGATTTAATGTTTGTTTTCATCTAGTTTTCATGGAATCCTGGAACGAAGGAACATTACTCAATTTTTCGGGCTGTTTTCTCACCGTAGATGGCTGAATAAGTATCGCTCTGAACGACTAATTTTCTCCTTGAATGCGTCTGCAGCGGCTGTTGAGAGATTCTTGCTCCTCGGGGGGGGGGGCTACAAAGTTAAACTATAGTAGCATGATTCTTGATTATACTGTAGTTAATCTCCCTTCTTTTGCACAATGAAAAGGTTTTCTGTTTGTTTGTTTGTTTGTTTTTGTTTTGTTTTTTTTTTTCAATTTAATTTTATCAATTACCATTTTTGTTTATGTTTTACTTTTTACACAGTGGATAGTTACTGTTCCGTTGAGACCCAGTAAACGTTTCAGAATATATATTTTCTGGTTTTGCACTGATCCGTAGAAATCTTTAGGATAAAGCAGTGACTCTATAATCGCTTGGTGTCCAAGAACTGTTTAGGCTCGATTACCAGCCGCTGGACTCGAGAGAGCAGCGGAAATCGAGCCTAAGAACTGTTCTATTGGCGCTGGCTCCTCGATGATATAGTAAATATGAGAATTTTAAGCACCTCATGTACACAAGACCAAATTGCCTGCTTAAACTCTGGAGTATTCACTCCAGTCACTACCAAGCGTAACGGGGCTTCGTTGGGTGTGACGCAGCGTATCGAAAAGGGTCTGGTGCGGGTATGAAAAATGCTAGTGTGTTCGGGTTTTCGTCGGCGTCTCGCATCTCCAATCAGTTACCCCTGCCGTGAATCGATATTTACCGAGAAAATTGAAAACTGACTTGAAAGCGAGGATATTTGAAGTTTTTTCTCAAAAAGTAAAATTAAAAACTTCATGCGCGGTGGGACTCAAACCCACAACCTTTGAATTAGAAGTCCAACGCGCTAGTCCATTGCACTACGGGGGTTTCACGTTAATTTCTGTCTTTATTTATTCTGTTTACTTCTAAACAGCACTATTGTTTTCTCTTCTATCCTTAAATCTTGACGGTTGTTGGTTGCTGAAACATAAACATCACAGAGAAGTTTAAGGTACCTGTTAACATGTGGCTCTTTTCAGACGCGAAACAATTTTAAAACTGTAAGTAACTCGTCTAGGATGACTTCTTTTGCTAACTATACGCTCAATTCCTGGGTCATATAACTCATGTAATAATAATAATAATAATAATAATAAAATGGGTAAAATGGATTATTGTTATTGGAAAAAACAGAATAATAATAATAATAATAATAATAATAATTATAATAATAATAATAATTATAATAATAATGATAACTTTATTATTGTGTCGAATGGCAGTAGCTGAAGGGATAAGTCCCCTCTACTAATCGTGGACACCTAACTAACAACCCAATTAAAATCATTTGCTCAACCCTGAATTACAAAATATTTGTGGGCACCCAGTTCCTATAAAATTATATATCTTAAATCATATCAAAATATTCAAAATATGTATATTAATTGTAAAAAAAATTATTTAAACAACCAGTCATTCTCGGCATAGGTTGCAGCCTCGACGGTCACTCAGATTTGCAGCTAGGGAAGGAAGGTCCTGATTACGTATGACGCTTTTAAATTGCTTCAAATAAGGTAGATTTCTTTTTCTAGGAGTGAGATTATTCCACGGTTTGAGCGCTAGGTAACGAACTGTGTATGTCAACGAGGAGAATCGAGGTTGAACAAATTCTCGTTTCCTTACGTAATATGAGGCACTGTCAAATTGGAAAAGATTCCAAAGTTTCTGTGGCTTAATCTTATACATGAAGATGGCAATGTCCTGTAATCGTCTGTTGTACAACGATGGTATGTCTGCTTTCGCTAGTAGTTTCTCATGGCTAGAATGATTATCCTTTAACACTGCCCTGAATCCTCTTTCTTGTTGCGCTCAGGCTTTCTCCTGTCGCTAGCCTTGCAGAAGTGGCAGGTGAGGTGACAATAAGTAAGGTGTGGTAAGATGACAGCTTTATATGGTTGCAGCTTTGCTTCTGTTGGTATAATGCTTTTCAGTCTCATATGGACTCCAATTCTTTGGCTTGCTTTTTTACACACGTTGTTGATATGATGGTTAAATTTTAGTTTACTATCTATCGTCACTCCTAGAAAGTTTAGCTTCTCTGTCGACTCGATTTCGCTGCCTTGAATACTCATGGTCGGATTTGTTCTCTCTGTTTTGTTCTGCATTGCCATGGTTTTGAATTTACTATAGTTAGCCTTAAGCATGCTATCTTCATACCATTTAGAGCCTTTTACTGCATTCCTGCTAAGTGATGACTTTACATTTGCGAGATCCTTTCTTGCTTCGTAAATCTGATGGTCATGTGCGTACATAGAAAGGTTCAAATTAGTTTCGTAGGCCAGGTGGTTCTGGAAGATGTTCCAGAGAGGTGGTCCTAACGCAGAGCCTTGTGGGCATCCTCTGTTTACCACTTGCCAGGAACTTGTTTGTGATCCCATTCCGATTCTGTTTTGTCGGTTGGAGAGATACGAGTGTAGAAGATTGACGGTGTTTTCCTCAAAACCGTAAGCTCTTAACTTGTTAAGGATGAGTCGTGGATGAAGTGAGTCAAATGCTTTTGACATATCCGTATTTAATATAGCTACACACTGGTGCCCGTTTCCATTGTTCCACCAGTGAGACAAGGGTTGTCTCGCAGCTATGAGATTTGCGGTA